CGCACACACACACACACACACACACACACACACACACACACACACACACACACACAAACAAACACAACAAACACACACACACACACACACACACACACACACACATCATGTCGCGCTCAGAATGGATGCGACGTGTCGGCGGCGGACGTCGCCTGCACATCGGCCATGGAAGGGCTAGACTTTGGGAAGATGGTGACGGGGGAGCACTGTCAGCTGGACACGTCTTCCAGATGCGACGGCATTGTATTTGCATCCCTCGCGTCGATGCAGGCGCATGGGTTTCATCAGCTGCACCGCAACACGCACCGCCAGCATGTCATCAGCATGCGTCGGCGCCAGGAGCGGGGCAATGCTGCGCAGGCGCAGGGGAGTGCCCCCGGTGCGTCTGTGGCCGTGGGCAGTGGCCGGCGGCAGAGCACCAGCGCTGCCATTGTGTGCGAGGTGTGCGGGCGAACGAGCCGCACACCACAGCAGTACAGTCGCCACAGGGCGTCGCACCGCCTCGTTGACGCCAGTGCCTTTGGCAGCGCCCCGATCACCATTGCCAACGCCAGCAGCAGCAGGGGCAGCGCCAGCAGCAGCAGGGGCAGCGCCAGCAGCAGCAGCAGCAGCAGCAGCAGCAGCAGCATTCGTGGTGGTGCAACTGGATTCAGAGCCAGCAGCAGCAGTGGCAGGCGCGCTGAGCGTGCACACACGAGCATTGCCCAGTGGCTTGTGGCGGCTGGTGACACAGCAACCGCACGCAGTGCTGGTACGGGCGCGCCCATTGTCATTCCTGATGATGACGACGACGATCACGACTACGACGACAACGACGACAACGACGACGATGATATTGATGCTGAGGTTGCCACCACCGCTCGCAGCAGCATGGCAGGTGTTCGCTCACACCAGCCGTTGGCCAGGGTGACAGGCGCAACAACCGCACGCAGTGCTGGTACGGGCGCGCCCATTGTCATTCCTGATGATGACGACGACGATCACGACTACGACGACAACGACGACAACGACGACGATGATATTGATGCTGAGGTTGCCACCACCGCTCGCAGCAGCATGGCAGGTGTTCGCTCACACCAGCCGTTGGCCAGGGTGACAGGCGCAACAACCGCACGCAGTGCTGGTACGGGCGCGCCCATTGTCATTCCTGATGATGACGACGACGATCACGACTACGACGACAACGACGACGATGATATTGATGCTGAGGTTGCCACCACCGCTCACAGCAGCAGCAGCCACAGCAGCAGCAGCAGCAGCGGCGGCGGCGGCGGCGGCAGTACGGGTGTTCCCTCACACCAGCCGTTGGCCAGGGTGACAGGCGCAGCAAGCGCCGTGAACCCTGCTCGCCGCAACAACAAGAGCCCCACGTTCGACACCACCCGCACCGGTCGTACACAGCGGCGCCGGCGCCGTCGCCGCACGCCCGATGTGCGCGCACGCCAGGGGCAGCAGAGGAGTATTGTGCAATGGTTGACGCGCGCTGATGGCAGTCGCCAGAGCGCGGGAAACAGCAGCGGTGACGACGACGACGACGACGGTGTGAGTGCGGCCACACCACCCACGAAAGCAAGCAAGGGCCACACAACGTCTACAGGCTGGTGATGTGTGTGTGTGTGTGATGTGTGATGTGATGTGTGTGTGATGTGATGTGTGTGTGTGTGTGGCGCAAGCGACCATCTTATGACCTCACCGCCTCACACCACACCCCCTGTGTTTCGCCATCGTACCTTGCCGTGCGGCGTTGCTTGTCTCGCTCGAGCCCTTCCTCTTCGTCTGGTTTGTCGCTTTTGTTACGTTCACACAGGCATGCGCACGCACACGCACACGCACACGCACACGCACACGCACACGCACACGCACACGCTTGCCTCGTTTGAGCGCCCTGCCAGCCCTGCCTGCCACTTCTTGTTGTCGCTGTTGGGTTGTTACTTTCAACTTCAACCCCCCCCCCCCACACACACGCACGCTGTCCCGTGTCGTTTTGTTTACGGCGAACCACGTGTTACCATGCCACGCTTGTCGCTTGCCTGGTTCGGGCCTTTTTTTTTCCCCTGCTTTTGTTATCTTCACCTCGAGGCATGCGCACGTTCCTGCCTTGGTTACAGTGCGTTGGACCCTCCCTTTGCGTTTGGTCGTTACCTTCACCAACCCACGTTGACCCCCATTGAACGAACAGCCCATTTCGTTGACGACCAGTTGTTGTCTGTCTGTTCATTGTTGGGGCGTTGTAGGAAGGAACAAAACGCAAGCACACGCACGATGGTGGCAGTGCCATTGCAAAGCACCACCACCAGTGGGGGCGACGTACAAAGACGCCATCCACGCCATCGTGAGAGCAGCAAAAGAACAGAGAAGAAACAACAGCAACAACAACAACAGCCGCGTGCACGGGAACAAGGTGAAAGGTGAAAGGTGATGCGATAGTTGATGGTTCTCACATCACATCACACCACACACCACACCACACACACTCGCGCGCACACAGAGGGAAGGCAACCCAACAAAAGAGGGGGGAAAGAAAACAAACACAACACCACAACACACAAAGTGCGCAGTGCAAACACACGAGCACCACGCGGGCCCCCTTCGCGCTTGCGCTTAGAAGGAGACAAAGTGGTGGCGCAGCGGGACGCTGGTGGCCTCCGACTCGTTGGTGCTGCGGGTGCCGTTCTCGACGGCGTTGGCCAGGGCCGGCGGGCCGCACGTGTAGATGGAGATGGGGAGAGGATCAAACTGGTCGCGCAGGGCGGGCAGGATCTTCTCAAAGTTGGGCCGCTGGAAGTTGGTGGTGGCGCGCAGGCCCGTGAGCAGCGAGACCTTGCTGCCCTCAATGTGGTTGCGCTCAAACATGAACATGAGCGAGGTGCGGAGGTCGTAGTCGCGCTTGCCCTGCGTGATGTACACGTCGACGGTCAGCACGTCGTCCGGAATCTCGGCCTGCACCTCGCGGATCAGCTCAACCATCCACTCGTACTCCTTCTGCGTGCGCGTCACCCAGATAAAGTGGATGTGCCGCAGCGACACGTTCTGGTTGTTGTGGTACCTGTGTGTGTGTGTGTGTGTGTGGTGGGTGGGGGGGTGGGGGGAGAGGAGGAGGAGGAGGGAGGAGGAGGAGGAGGAGGAGGGAGGGAGGGAGGGAGGGAGGAGGGAGGAGGAGG